AACTGCATCAGCAGCTGCTGCTGTTGCTGATGCTGCTGCTGCTGCACTGTCCCCCCATTGCTTGCTTTGAACAGCAGCAGCAGCAGCAGCAGCAGAATGAGAGTTCCATTTGTCTTTCTCTGCAAGAGGAGGAGACACACACCCAGCAGCAGCGGCAGCAGCAGCTGCTGCAGCTGCTGCTGCTGCTGCAGCAGGTGGTGGTTCACTGCATGCAGCTGCAGCGGGATGACCAGTGGTCTGTTNGCTGCTGCTGCTGCTGCAGCAGGTGGTGGTTCACTGCATGCAGCTGCAGCGGGATGACCAGTGGTCTGTTCCTGGTTATATGAATACTCAGCAGCAGAAGGAGACAAAACAAAAGGAAGAATATCTTCCTCTATGTCCATTACATAATCTAAATCAGATGCAGACAAAGGGCTCAAACACACACCATCCATCCTGCTGCTGCTGCTGCTGTTACTGCTGCTGCTGCTGCTGCTGTTGCTGCTGGCGTCGCTGCGGGCGATGCTGCTGCTCGTGTGGGCTGATGCAGAAAGCTGCAGCTGCAGCAGCAGCAGCAGCAAAGGGGGTTTTGTCTTTGATCTGAGGTGTACATACACCTGAAAGTTTAGGGGTAGAGTACAAATGTTTCTGCAGCAAACTGCATGCAAGACGAACTGGAAAAAAAAATAAAAAAAAAAGAAAAACCAGCAGCAGCAGGATTTGGTTTTAGTTTAGTTTCTCTCACCAGGTGTACAGACACCTGAAAAAGGCGCAGCAAATGTCGCTGCTCGGTGATAAAGGATTAAATAAAATTTATTTCTTCTTTTTTTCCTGCTGCTTGTGGTTGCATGCAGATGCAAGAACGAGAAGAAGAATACAGCGGGGGGGGGTGTTGTTTGTGGTCGACTTCAGGTGTCTATGCAGCTCTTTGATAAAATTAATAAATTAATTATAATTTAAAAAGAAAAAGAAGAAAGAAAAGGAGCTGCTGGCAGAAGACAAAAAGGAAAGCTTACCTGCATGCATACTTGTATTGCAATTCAAGTTTCTGTAAGCCCCATAGAGAAAGGGTTTGTTTTGTGCGAAGAAAAAGTGGAAAACGCATGCAATTGAGTTATAAATTACTTTGAAACAAACAAATTAAGTTTATTTATTTGTTTATCTGTTTATTTTCATCTGTTTAGACGGTGGTTTCCTTGGGGGGGCTCAGCGACGGTGTGGTTTCGTGTATGTATTGTGTGTATTTTTGAGTGAATTTGTGCATCTTTTGAGGAAATTAAATAGTTTTTATGAATTAAAAACAAATTCTTTTGATTTATTCATAAATTTTTCTCAAAGAAGACGAAAAATATTCAGGTTTCTGCTGGCGCCGCCGCGGTGTCAACACGAGGTGCCTATACACCCCAGCAGCTGACGCTGTGCATCCGTTCAAATTGCGATCCTCTAGAAAGCAGTTTATTTTTTCTTGAATTTTCTTTTTTTTTTTTTTTTTTTTTTTTTTTTTTTTTTTTTTTTTTTTTTTTTTAAATAAAGATGACGAATAACATTGATGTTTCAGAAGAATCTCAGCGACGTATTTGTCGTTTTAGTTTTCTCCATCACTGCGTAACCACCATGGAGGAGCGGGCTGTTGTTTTAAAGAAAAAAATTTCTCTTCTTAATGATGCAAATGAAGAAGTAGAAGTTTCTTTTGTTGATGATGATCTATGGATTAAAGCTGGTGAGATAAATCTATATTTATATGTATATATATGTATATATAAATATATATATGTATATATTTATATATATATGTATATATATAAATATATAATTCCTTTTCTGCTGTTTTCCTTTCTCTCTCTCTCTTCTATGCTACGCATTCTCTTCTCTATTCTCTTTTGTTTTTATCTAATTTTTTTCTTTTTTTTTTTGTTTCTTCTCTGCTTGACTCTAGTTTTGTTTCTTTTGTTTGAATTGATTTGGTGTGTGTGTTTCTGTTTGTTTTCTTGTTTATATATCTGTGTTTTTTTTATTTATTTATTCTACTTTTATTATATTCTTTTATATTCTCTAGTATATCATTGTATGTTATTTTCTAGAGAATGTTTTATGTAATATATTATATAATAAATACCCCCCTTCATTTCTTTTTTTTTCTCTCTTTCTTTCTTTCTCTCTTTCTTTTTTTTTTGTTTAAAACGAAACCTTTATTTCTTTTCTTTTTCTCTCTTTCTTTCTTTCTTTCTTTCTTTTTTTGTTTTGTTTAAGACGAAACCTTTATTTCTTTTTTTTTGTTTTTTTTTGTTTTTTTTTTGTTTAAAGGAGAAACATACTGCAAACAAGACGCAGAAAGCGTACAAAAACTTTTAGCTGCAGCACAAGAAGAACAAAAAGAAGAACTAAAACAACTCGATGGAA